TTGACCGCAGCATCACTTTCACCTCTCGGCCCTTTCCGCGCACCACTCATCCTGAACAGCAGGGTAAAGAAAGGGGGGGAGTAGATGGTTAGGCATCAGGGTCCTCGCGGCACGACGCAGAAGCAGTGATTGGATCATGACCGATCCCGTGTCGTGGTGTGAATCATACAGTCGATGGCCGCATGGGCAGTCATGTAGGGTTCACTTGCAGTGTAAACTCGCATGAGTCCTGTCGGTAGGGACCGAGATCTCGGGCCCGACGGAGCCGAGTTTCCCGAGCCAGCGTCCAGCGCATGCCACCAGGCGAGAGGGGTGCAAAGGGGCCCTGGTGGACAGAACTGCCAGCAAGCCTATCAAGATGAGTCTCAGGATAGGGGCCCCTGGCTTCCTGGAGAAGGGAAGAGGCCAGCGCCCTGCACAATCCCGAAGGGCATGCTTTGGCAACCGCAGCCCCCACACATCAGACACAGTAAGTCCCAACAGGGCAGGGTGGGGCCTGGGGTGGTTGCAGAGAGGGCCTCCTACCATGGTCTCAAAGAGCCGATCAATGGCCCGAACATGCACGCGCAACAAAACAGTCGGTTTAATGACCCTGGCCCCAAAACGACACTGGTTAATGAGGTGCTTGGAAACACCCTGAAGCCCCACAAGGGTCTTGACCTCCGGCAAGAGCCAAACGCTGGGACGGCCGTGAGCATGGGTGGCATTAATGGGGTGTTCCATTATGGCGGGTATGCCATGCAGCCAGGATTCGTGCAGGAATGTGATCGTCGTTCTTCGTAGCGTGTTGGCTAACTCTACCTGACGGTTCTCTTTCTGTGACAAGCGTCCCGGCCCCCAGAGCTCGTCGCTCGAGCGCAGCGGTCGCGGCGGGCGCCTGGCTTCTGGAGCTGGCCGATGGCGAGCAGCTGACCACGATTCGCACGGCGGTCCAGCGAGGACCGCTGCCACCCTGCCTGGCCGTAGCAACTCAAGCCAGATCTGCATTGACTCATTGCTGGTAGGATCTCCAAAACACTAGATGATTGGCGACGTCTATGCTCAAGGCGCAGAGTCTGGACAGAAATGTTTCCAACAAGGTCTCCAAGTGAGCCAGAAAGTCCCCTGGCCTACGATGGTCTGAAAACAGATGCAAGACGAACTTCAGAGGTCTGATGGGCATCCTGATCGGTGTCCCAGAGAGTCGCCGAGCGCGTTCCACTACTCGCAAAGTGCCTACCCGCAAACGTCCGAAAAGCACCTGTCTGCTTTGATGTAAGTTATCGTAGATCCCCGGCGGGGGATCGAGGCCATTTGCAAGTAGTTATTTTGCGAGTAGTGGAACGCGGTCGTCGAGAGAGGTCGGGTGCCTGGGGTGGCGGCAGTCGGTGGGGAAGAGGGCCTGCCCTCTGGCTGTCCCGCCTGGAGATGGCGGCTTTGGGGGCAATGGGGGGCCCATGGGTCTGCACCCAGCCAGTAGTTGCACGGGTGTCCAAGCTACTTGCTGCCCTGTTCTTGGCCGCTTCCTGCTTGGCAATAGCCCTGGCCTCTAGGCGTTCCCCATCCGTGGGTCTGAAGGGGGTCCCGGCCCAAGCCGCCCTACAGGATGGAGCATTCCCAAGATGCTTGACTAACCTACAGATCTGGCTAAAGTCTCTCATGCATACTTGGCAGCAGGACGAGGAAGCCCAAAAGGTTGGGGCGCTCCTGGTTTGATGCCGCTTACCTACGTGGGCCTTCAATTGCTGCATGGAGCTAGCCTGGTATCAACAATCGTAGCAAAGAAACTGAGGGGGTCTCTAAGGGGTCTCTGGTCGCCCCAAGGGGGCGCTTTCCGAAATCTTGGCCAAATCACGCCTCCACAATTCTAAATGTGCCTAACCCATGTAGGTAGGACGAGAGTGGCCAATGGCCGCCTTGATGAAACTGGGGAAGGTCAGGCGATGTGCCCGAGCAAACTGTATCCACTCTTCAACCGCATCGGCTGACTGAATGCCTTCTCTGCCTAAGTGATAATGAAGCCACTTGACGTCCTCCCGAATGAGTGACGGCCATCCCTTAGAATCAGGTCAGCTGGCATCTAAGACAACACGCGTGCAAGGGGGAGCACAAGAGAGCACTCGGGCGAGGAGTCTCAACCTGGCCACGGACGAGACAGCCTGAGTGGGTAACCTGTTGGAGTCAGAAATCACCTGCGCGGAATGAGTGTGCAACTCAGGGCTATTCGTGGCAGGTGAGGACATGGCCGCACGATATACCGAGAGATGAGTGGTGGCACTTATGTTCTGGACTTTTGGACAGCCTAGTCCAAGTGGGAGCCCCGAAACATAGTACAGTTGATCCCAGTGCCTCTACAAGGGTGTACTTGACCTTCCTGGACAAAGCCTTCCTGGGGGCCACGGTTTTCCTGATAGGTTTCAAGGCTCCTAAGATCTTGGGGCAGCGGGCGGTGATTTCAGGTCCCATGGAGCCTTCAACCGAAACCTGATATCCCAGGAACTTATGGGCCTGCACACAAGGAAAATTGAAAGACCACCTCCTAGAGGTGATAGATGGTGATAGTGCTGATACTTCCCCCTGGCAAATCACCAAGCACATTCTGAACCCCTTGCCTCGAATAACGATGGGAAACTTTGACTTGATATCATGAGTCCTGAAGCCTGCCTTGGAGGCAGCAAGGAACACACATTCTGCCAGCAACAGGTCTTTCTCTGGTACATCGTAAGCAGAGGCAATGGCTGCTAAGACTGTCAAACCATCGACAGAGGAGAAGTCGTTACTGCTCTCATGTCAGTCTTCATCTGTAGGAATCGCTGGGGGAGGCTGTGCTACAGTGGACTGCAGATCTAATCCCAAGGCGTTGACAGCCTGTTTGATATCTAAGTGAACCCTTCTTAAAACTACATTGAAAACATCTGTGGCCCAAACCGCACCTGGCCTGGAGCTTAGGGCTGGGGCCACGAAATCCTTAGCGTCTCTAAGCCTCAACGTGCTCACCAAGAAGGGGATCCCTGCTGTAATTGGGCACGCACACCCTCAATCAGCCGTGGGCTCAACTTTAGCTTAGGAATTAAATCATCTAGTCTGCCCTCCTTCCCCGGCAAAGCAATCGCCAGCTGCTTGATGGTAGCGTAGAAGGCCTGAACCAAGTCCAGACCAACAACTAGAGCAGACGTTTTTGTTTGCAGGGTAGCCGAGAGGAAGGCACGAACAGCTAAGGTAATCATCTCGATACTCCTGCCACCACTACGCCTCCACAGTGCACTTTCAGGAGTGCAGCTGCCATGGAATCCTGTGCCAGGCTCCCAGTGTGCCTATGGTGCAGTTTACACATTGTGCTAGCGAGCAAGATGTTGCACTTTTTTTGTTTTGCGAGGAAGGTAGCACCCGAACCGTTAAACCAGTAAACGATGCCACCTAGCTTGAAGGTAAATGGCCCTACCTAGTGCCGTAATGTTGGTGAGCAGGAGACACAACAACCGAGCAAACTGCTGGGGGCAACTTAAAACAAGTCACTGGGGAACCCATCCAATCCAGGTGCCTTGCCCCTCTTCATGGTTTTCATCAAAAATCTTTAAATCAAAGGAAGTGGGGGCATAGTCAACCAAGCGATGCTCCAAGTCAGCAAACAGATCGGGCAAGTTGTTATATTCTTGCACCATCACGGGAACACACACCCTTTTGCCTTTCTCGATGGCTTGAAAGTGTGCCTGCGTCACTGATACAACCTCCTCATGAGTGGACAAATACGAGGCGAGAGGTCAGAAGAGGGGTCGATGGCCGCACTCACCATCTCAGTAGCACTTGCTACTGCCGTATCCTATGCCTGTCTGGGGTCGGGTGTCCCTGGCAATCTCCTCCCTAGGGACCCCCTCATCTGTCATGAACGGTATCACCGAGGTGGCCCCCATGGCTCCAGAGCTCCTACCACCATGAGAGAGCGGGTGGGCAACATGTCTCGATTTTTCTTTGGGCATACGTGCATCTGCTGCTACAACTCCTTCGGCCACCCCTTCAAGGAATGAATGGTTTTCTTTTAGTTTGTCCGACAGTGCTGCTGACGAGAAAATGCACGAGTCGCATTGCAAAGTCATCCTTGGACAGGTCACCTGCCTTGACCACCCTAGCTACACAATTGACAAGGTGAAGTAACTGACTCAAATTGGCTGGTCCTGCTCTGTCCTCATCTGATAGACGCCACCATACAAGATTATGCTGGCAAATCTGTCCAAGGAGGCTCTGTGCCACTTGGAATCGAGGGGGCATGTGCGGGAGCCTCTGCGCCATCTCCTAAGGGCCCTCTGAGTGCCCCTACGCCATGCAATCATGGTCAAGAGCTCTTGGGAAACACAAGGCTTCCGGGAAGCTTTGTGGGCACAGCCGACACAGGCTTGGGCGGCCTCCAGCACTCCTCTTCCCCTTCCTCCTTCTACACCTCCTTCTCCTCCTCCTCCTCCTCCTCCTCCTCCTCCTCCTCCTCCTCCTTCGCATCATCATCCGTCATGCTCCACCGCTGCTCCTCCTAAGTTCCGCCACTGCTGTCGGCCAAACCCAAGAGTGACATCTCGCCGGAGTAACCTCTTGGCGCGGGCGCACATGGGCCCCCAGATGTCTGAGCGCGATGCGATAGCAGCGGCCTGCGCGCTCGGGTTTGGCCTCCCCGCGCCCCCCGAAAACCGCGGTCCAAAGGTCACTTTTGCCTGGGGTCACTCTTGATTGTAGCCGATGCTGCTATTCCTTGCCATCCTGGGCCATCGGAGGAAGACGCAGAGTGTTTTTTTTCCATGCCCGCCTGCCCATCTCACAGTTTCTGCTGTGTGCGCGCAGCAAACCAACATTAACAGCACAACGCACGTACAGAAAACGTGGAACATAGTACCGAGCATGTGTCAAAAAAATCTTGAAGTTTAAAGGATAGCCTTTGTGAAGTCCCGTGCGTTTGCGTTTTTACTATACATACATACATACGTACGTACATACATACATACATACATACATACATACGTAAACGAAGATCGAAGGTCTGCGTCCAGCTCTTCCCCCAGCTGGACGGACTTGCCGACAACCTCGGCCGCAACATCTGCAAGTGGAACGAGACGTGGCAGGCCGAGGCCAACCCCGACCAGGCGCCCACTGTCGTGCTTGTCGTGCTGGTCGTGGTCGTCGACGTGATCGCGTTTGTGTCCGTCGTCGCCGCCCCGCCCGCCCGATACCCCCCCCTCCCCCATTCTTCCCACCCGCTTCCTCTCCTCCCTCTCCTCCCTCCTCCTCGTCCCTAACCCTTTCCCTCCCCCTGCCCGCTCTCCCATCCCTTCCGTCCTCCTCGTGTTCCTTATCCTCGCCGCCATCCCCTTCCCGCCCCTCCCCTCCTCACAATCTCCTCCTCCTCCTCCTCCTCCTCCTCCTCCTCCCCGATTCCGTGTACCTCAACTCCCTAGTGAAGATGTTGCGGGCGCCCGCTCGCATCAACGAGATTGGCCGCATGACAACTTGCCGGGGCATGGGCGTCACCACCTTTAGATTGGCGGCTGATTTCAGAGATGGCCTGAAAGAACTCGTGTAAACAAGTTGGGCCTGCAGGTAGCACCCGAATCCGTGTATTACACCCCCCTTGTGAAGTCGCTGTACGCGCCTGCCTGCATCGACAGAGTTCGCGAGGTTCGAGGCGGCCGCGCATAACGCCAACTAGAAGGAACCGTAATGATCAGCATCGCTCTCGCGTCGGCCGCTGCGTAGGCGTCCGTACCGAAAGCCAGCTTCGAGCCGAGCGCCTTCTTTGACGGTTTCGGCTCGCCCCCCAGGTATTCGCATGCTTTCTCCTTGTCCTCCTCCTCTTCGTCGTCCTCCTCCTCCTCCCTCTCCTACTCATCACCCTCCTTCTGCACTTCCTCTTCCTCCGCAAACTCTTCTCCTCCCAACCTGCTCTGTACCCGTCTTCCTGCTGCCGCTCGGGTTGCCGAGCCAAGTCCGACCCCGGGCTTGCCCCCAGGCTCGTGGCCGCCATGTTCCACGCTGGTTGCAGGGCATGGTCTTCACTTTGCGTTAGAAAAGCGATCTAGGCTGACGTGCCGAAGATGGCTCGGAATTTGGACGCCTTTGATGGAGGCGTTTGTGATGGTGCCCCCCTTGGACACATGGCGGTGAAGTTCCGTCCCCGCACCTGATCATCCTGATGTCCAGCCTGTTGGCATTGAGGATAGTGGATTGGCAGAAGCTGCCTCTGATTTCGGCATCGCCTCCAGCCTTGACAGTGAACGTGCAAGCCGACAGCGGCCCCGACATTGTGATGGTACAGTCAAGACGCTGAAGTTATTGTGCACGATGGTGAGTGGGACGGTGCTGGAAGAGCTGAAGTCAATGTTTCAAGCGTTCCAAACTCATTGGCGCCCCATCTTCGCAGCTCAAGAAATCCCCGCTGATGATACTCATGTTTTCCTCTCCTCGGTTCGCCCTCGCTGCCCCCACTCGAGCTTTCAAACGTGCCAAACCCAGTGCCCCTGGCCCAGATCGTTTGCCATATGCAGCCTGGCTGCCACATCCAGAGGTCACTAGCATGTCAGCTCGTGTTCTAGAACGCGTCTGCTCAGGGGGATTCCTCCCGCTCGAGGCTGATCGATCCTTGGTTGAGTTCTTGCCCACTGGAGAAGAGGACGATAATTCTGCGCGCGCCACCCGTCCTTCCAGAATTTGCGGCCGCTCAGCCTGAAGAGTTTGGACATCAGAGCGATCAGCTCAGCCATCAACCATACCACCGGGTCGCTCGTGGCAGACAGGGCCCAGCAGTTTCAGCACGGGTCCATCCAGGGTGGCAGTTCTGTGTGGAGCATCTCACTGCTTGGTGCCGAGGCCCGCCGAGCAGGACGGATGGATTGAGGCGCCTCCGGCCGCCCTCTGGCTGACCTGGAAAGCCGCGCTCCGCAGCCTCTCTCGGGTTTGGCTCGACCTTACCCTGGCCCACTGTGAGGGTCCTCTTGGGGTCCGCTGGGCCAGCCGTGCCATGCATGCTGCTTCAATCACGTTTGCTAGGCTCGGCGATATGGATCTTGCACCCGTGTGTGAATTTTGCCAGCGGCGTGCTGCAAGGATACTCTCTTTACCGGAGCCTCTTGGCGTTCGCCATGGACCCCTTCCCCGTCACCTCCGAAGTGCCTTCCTCTCCCCGACCTTGGCGTAGCACGCGCGCGTGCTGATGGCGCAGGGCTTGTGTTGCTCTGTGCACCCCTGCTCGCTCTCATAGCCGAAACGTTTTGCTTCGCCGACGAATTAGTGCTGCTTCGGTGGCAGATGTTGAGTTGTGTTGCAGCTTCTCTGTGGGCCCGCTGTCCGACCCTGCCATTGAAACAACTCGTGACGACCTGTCCTGTGCTTCTTCCCGCTGGAAGGTCCTCCAAGCTCCAGGCGCAGCGAAGTATCTCGTGACGTGGGTCAGATCGGAGGCCACGAACGCAATGCAGTGGCAGGAACTAAGTGAGAAGTGGTGGTCACTCACTCATCTTGCCCACCTCTCTTGTGCCCCTCCCTCTGCTTTCATTGTTCTGTACTCGAACTCCATCTTGTCCGCCCTCGATGCTGTAACTCAGCTATTCCATCCGGTGGCCGCTTGATCAAGCGAGAGGTGCGTGGGCTCCACACGTGCTATCCACCGCCGCCAAGCTCTTTGAAGAACATCGGCATCCTTTCTTTTCGGCTGTGGTGTCTTGGCGGCGGTTCCGGCTCCATAGTTGCTCTGTTTTGCGCCTCTCTGTGGCGCACCCGTTTCACGGCCGCGTCTGGATGGAGGCAGGGCTTAGAGCGTCTGGAAGAGGCGGTAGATCAGGCTTTCCCAATACAAAGAACTGGTGCCCAACACTCGGCTCCATCTTGGTGGTCGGAACCACAGCCCGTCGCTCCAAGATTCGCATGACGCATGCATTGCAAAACCGCTGCGTCTCTACAGCACACGCATTGCTTCTGCAGCTGTCCAGCGCGCTGCCATTCGGTTAGGGGGTGGGCGAGGTCGCTCGTGTCAAGGCGCCGGAAGATCGAGGACGACCTCGGGTGCAGTGCGCAGCGGCGCTCAAGATCATTCGAGCCTTTTTATCCTCATGAGTTTGCTGACACCTTGCGTCGGCGGCCCAAAAGATGGCACCGGCATTTAAGACTCCCTCGGGATCTGGAGGATAGATAGTTATTTCTGCAGTCGGTCTACGCAAATTCAAGCCTGCCCTGAGGTGGTGCACCATCCAGACAGTTGAACCTGAGCTATTGTCAATCGCTTGCATGTGTCGGCTTGCTCCAGATCGTGTTTCGTTGATCGCCCGAGCTGTATCGTCAGCATCCAACAGTAGTTAACATGCCCGCATTTTGTTGGAGCTGGTTGCTAATCCTGCGCGCCCACTGAGTAGGGATGTGTTGAATCGGTTGCTGGGCACCCAGGTCAGCAATGTTTCGGCTATGTCGTTCGTTCGTTCACCATTGCCGTCTACATACATATGGTTACATCTGCATGTGCGAATACATATTTACACATCTAAGTAGACATGTATACATACATACATGCATGCATGCATGCATGCATGCATCCATGTATGCATTAATGCATGCATACATGCACTCGTGCAACCTACATATATACACATAAATATATGCATACATATAAACATAAAGACAGACGGACAGACACGCAGACAGACAGGCAGACAGACACATGCATGCATACATACATGAATGCACATATGGATATACATATAAATCTAGAACAAAACGTATATATTTATATAGATAGATAGGTGACGTGACATGATGGGATGTATCGGCATTCCCCCATTACGTTTGCATTTCGGCCCTTGCCACTGATCATTACCGCACTCCCGCTATCTGGCGCCTTCGGTCTGAGAATGTCGGTACTGGAGTTCTTCACAGGCGACGTTCATTCCTCCTCCTCCTCCTCCTCCTCCTCCTCCTCCTCCTCCTCCTCCTCCTCCTCCTCCTCCTCCTCCTCCTCCTCCTCCTCCTCCTCCTCCTCCTCCCCCCCTCCTCCTCCTCCTCCTCCTCCTCCTCCTCCTCCTCCTCCTCCTCCTCCTCCTCCTCCTCCTCGACGCCAACGGCTTCACCTTTTAGGTCAACTCCTCCCCTCATCTCATCTGCCGGCTTCCTCTCCGCTCCCTCGCCCTGCACACCGAGCCCTCCCGCTGCCCGGCCCCCTCGCCCGCCTCTGGCCGCGGCACCCCCGGGGCAGCGCCAGGAGCCCAGGAACGGCGCACCTGCCCGAGGCTGCCCGCTGGGCTGCCCGCTTCCCCGATGTCCGCCGAAGGGATTTTGTTTCGGTCCGCGGCCGCAGAGGTCCCGACCGCTTCCCCCGATACCCTCAGGTGGCCTCAGGACGCGCGGGAGGAGCTCCTTCTCCCCCCTTCTCCTCCTCCTCCTCCTCCTCCTCCTCCTCCCTCCTCCTCCTCCTCCTCCTCCTCCTCCTTCGCCTCCTCCACCTCCCTCCTCCTCCTCCTCCTCCTACTCCTCCCCCTCCTCCCCTCCTCCTCCTCCTCCTCGTCTCCTCCTCCTTCGCCTCCTCCTCCTCCTCCTCCTCCTCCTCCTCCTCCTCCTCCTCCTCCTCCTCCTCCTCCTCCTCCTCATCCCCCTCCCCTTCCCCCTTCGCCTCCTCCTCCTTCGCCTCCTCCACCTCCTCCTCCTCCTCCTCCTCCTCCTCCTCCTCCTCCTCCACTGAGGTCCGGGCGTTGCGATTATTGTTCGCACCGGGCGTTTCGCCCCGCGATTTCTTCACGCTAGGCGTTTCGCCCCGTTCTAGGCCACGGGGCCATCTTAGACCGACCCGGCTTGAAAAGTGTCGCAGGAAGACGGGGTACAGTCGGGGCCCTGAAGAAGGAACCCTTTTCGTTGGGGAGGGGCTCCGTGTTCCTTAAGTGTTTCACAGCTTGCCTCAGGTTTTCCTTATGTTTTCGATCGGAAATCGAAGTTCAACTTATGGAAAATAGGGGCCTCGTTCCTTATTTAGGATTCCTTGGGTCAACGCTCCGACTGTACAGTGTTTTGGTTGTGATTTGTTGCGATGTTGATCTATTGTTCGCAACGTTGGATCTAAGGCCCCCCCCGGGGGGGCGTTTTTCCCAAACCAAGCGGGTCTTCCCAAGCCAAACCTTCGGTTAGGGCGACCCGGGGCTCGGTTTGGGAACACACGGTCGGTTTGGGAAGACCCGGTTGGTTTGGGAAGACCCAGGGCTTGGTTTGGGAACACCTGGCTGGTTTGGGAAGACCCGGTTGGTTTGTGAAAATTTGGGGAAGACCCGGTTGGTTCGGGAAGGCCCGTTTGGTTTTGGAAGACCCGCGGTTGGTTTGGGAAGACCCGGTTGGTTTGGGAAGACCCAGGGTTTTAGTTTGGAAAGACCCGGTTGGTTTGGAAAGACCCGGATGGTTTCGGAAGACCCGGTTGGTTTAGGAAGACCCGATTGGTTTGTGAAGACCCAGGGGTTTGGTTTGGGAAGACCCGGTTGGTTTGGGCAGATTTGTTGTTTTGGAAAGACCCGGGGTGCTTGGTTTTTGGGAAGACCCGGTTGGTTTGGGAAGACCCAGGGGCTTGGTTTGGAAAGACCCGCTTGGTTTGGGAAAGCGTGGTTGGTTTGGTAAGACCTGGGTGGCTCTGGTAGGCGAGACCCACTTCGTCCAGGCGGAACGAAAGCGAAACGAAGGCGAGAACGAATGCGGGAACGAGAACGGAAGTGAGAGCGAAACGAAGGCGAGAACAAAGGCGATAACGAGGGCGGAAACGAAAGAGAAACGAAGGCGAAACGACGGCGAGAACGAAAGCGAAAACGAGATCGGAAACCAAGGCGAAACGAATTATATTCGAAGGCGAACGTAAAGGCAGAAACGAGACGGAAATAAAGGCAAAACGAAGGCGAAACGAAGCTGAGAACCAAGGCGACAACAATACCAAAACGAGGGCAAAACGAAACGAAACGAGGGCGAGAATAAAGACGAGAGCGAGAGCGGAAACGAAGGCGAAACGAAAGCGGAACGAAGGCGAGAACGAAGGCAAGAACGAAGGGCGGAAACGAGACAAAACGGAGGCGAAACGAACGCGAGAACAAGGCGAGAACGTGAGAGGAAACCAAGGCGAAACGAAAGCGAGACGAAGGCGAGAACGAAAGCGGGAACGAAGGGTGGAAACGAGCACGAGACGAGGGATAAACGAAAGGCGAGAGCAAAGGCGAGAACGAGAGCGAAAGCGAAACGAAGGCGAGACGAAGGCGGGAAACGAAGGCGGACACGAAGACAAATGAAGACGAGACGAAGGCGAGAACGAAGGCTAGAACGAGAGCGGAAAGGAAGGCGGAGCGAAAGCGTAACAAGGGCGAACGACGGGCGGAAACGAGAACGAGAACAAGGGGCGAGTCGGGTCGAACGGGCGGACCCTGACGGGCGGGTCGGGCGGGCGGGACACGCACGTATAACGCATCATCGAGTTGGCGCGATTGCAGCCTCATGGGCGGTTCGGTCGGGCGGGCGAGTCGAGTCCGACGGGCGGACCTTGACAGGCAAGCCAGGGCGAGCAGGCGTACCCTAACGCGCGGGTCGCGCCGGGCGGGACGTTAAAGTGTTATGCGTCATCGCGTTGGCGCACGTGTGCCCTGACGGACGGGTCGGGCGGGCGGGCGGATCGGGTCGGGCGAGCGGACCCTGACGAGCGGATCGGATCGAGCGGGCGGAACACTAAAGTATGATGCATCAGTGGGTTGGCACGCGTGCGCCCAGCTTCTGGGGGCCCTCGACAGGCCCTGGGACCTTCAAAAAAGACCCGGGACGAAAAACCGGCCCTAGGGAAAGGGTACCCTTGGGTGCTCTTGTCGCCAAAAAAGCAACACTGGATGTCTGGGTTCTGGAGGTGCGCCGTCACCCTAATTTTAGAAAAGGAGTCCAGCCGTGGCGACGACGGCGACGACGACGTCGTCGAGGACGACGAAGGCGACGACGACGACGACGAATTGGCCACGGCGACGACGACGCCGACGACGACAACGTTGCCGTCGATTTGGGCGACGACGCCGACGGCGTCGACGGTGATGGCGACGACGGCGACGACGACGACGACGTCAGCGACGACGAGGACGACGACGGCGACCACGACGACGGCGACGACGGCGACGACGACGATGACGCGACGACGGTGACGACGACGTCGACGACGACGACGACGAAGGCGGGAACGAGTTCGGAAGCGAGGGCGAAAAGAAGGCGATACGGAAGCGAGAACAAAGGCGAGAACGTGAACGGAAACTAGAGTGAAACGAAAACGAAATGAAGGCGGGAACAAAAACGAGAATGAGGGCGGAAACGAGAGCACAACGAAGGCGAAGCGAAGGCGAGAACGATGGCGAAAGCGAGAGCGGAAACGACGGCGAAACGAAAGCGAGAACGAAGGCGAGAACGAGAACGAGGGCGGAAACGAGGGCGAAACGAAGGCGAGACCGAAGGAGGGAACGAAGGCGGAAACGAGGACGGAAACGGAGCGAAACGAAGGTGAAATGAAGGCGAGAAAGATTGCGGAAACGATGGCGAAACGAAGGCGAACACAAAGGCAAGAACGAGCGCGGACACGAGGGCGAAACGAAAGCGAAACGAACGCAAGAACGAAGGCGGGAACGAGGGCGGACACGAGAACAGAAACGAAAGCGAACCTAAGGCGAGAACTAGGCGAGAAGACCCGGTGGAGTGGTTTGGGAAGATCCTGTTGGTTTGGGAAGACCTTGGAGGCTGTTTTGAGAACACCCTGTTGATTTGGGAAGACCCAGGGGGGTTGGCTTGGGAAGACCCGTCTGGTTTGGGAAGACACGGGGAACGGTTTGGAAAGACCCGATTGGTTTGGGAAGACTGGGCCAGTTGGTTTTGGAAGATCCGTGTTGTTTGGGAAGACCCGGCCGCTTGGTTTGGGAAGACCCGGGTTGCTGGTTTGGGAAGACCTGGGGTTTGGTTTGGGAAGACTTGCCGGTCTGGTTCCGCAACGTTTGGCTTGGCTGGTTTGGGAAAGCCCTGCTTCGGCCACCCCCCCTTCTCGCCCGCTTCCCCCCTCCACGGGGTGGGCAGGGGCAGGAGGCAGGGAGCGAGGAAGAGTGGAGAGGGGAGAGATGGGCGAGGAGAGGAGAAGGAGGAAGAGGAGGAGGAACGGAGAAGGGAGGATCGGACCTCTTCTCTTGGCACGCGCGCTACGTTCGCGCTGTGCTCGTGCCGCTCGCTCCGCACCGGCTCCTGCCGCCCTCTGCGCCTGCCGGGTGCTGCCGGCGCCTGGCGCCCGCTGCCCCTGTTTGCCGCTGCTGCTGCGCCAGGCGCATCCGACCCATCCTGCTGCTGCTGCTCCTCCCCCGCTCTCGCGACTCGAACAGGGGATCGATTCAAAGACATATCGGGGGTGGACAGAACCCCCAGCAGTGACACGTCGATTAGTGAATTGTCCGTTTTCGGTTCTCGAGATGGCGCCGCGGCCGTTACTTTCCAGGCTTGCGCCCGCCAGGTTTGGGCTTCAGGTCGTTTTCACTAAACCACGTTTTACTAAAGGGAGGTCTGTCCATCCCCGAACATAAGGGCCCCAAACTTGTCGATTCGCCGAAAAGACAGAAAAACAAAGTATAATGCTCGTGAAGCTGCGGAAATTGTAGTTCGTTCGCAACTTCGACGGAGATGTCACACTTGGGCTGTAGTCGACCCCCTACCCGAACGACCCTCCTCTCTCTCCCCACGCCCCTCCGCCGCTCGCCCCCCGACGAGGCAGAGAGGGACAAGGTCAACGCGCGCACCCAGAAGGTCTCGCTGCGCTGCAAGGCCCTCCAGCCGCGCACCCCACTCCTCCTCCAGCTCCTGCTCCTGCTGCTTCTCTTGCGCTGGACCAAATGAGTCTGAGGGCTGTTGCGCTCGTGTGAAACAAGGTGAGCACCGACGTGGCGAAGAAGTAGACAAACACCTGGTGGGCGCCGCGGTGACAGTAATAGACAGAGGGTCGGCTCAATGGAGCTGACAGGAGTAGGCGCCCGCCAGGTGTGGCACGCGGTCAGCCGTAGTACCTCAGCATGCCCTCTCCCGACCACCCCTCCCCCGACGTACCCACCCACCTATCCGAAGCTATAGCGGTACAGGCTGCCGCGTCTAAGCATGAATGCAATTGTGAAATAGAAAGGAAGCGCAAAACGTATGATTTTGCAGGTCTGAAATACTGCAGGAAAACGCGTGTCGGATGAGCGGCCAAAGGTAAATGACGAAGCAAAGGGGTGCTGAAGCAGGAGTTTGTGCATAATATGAGGTTGAAGAGAGTGTGCATGGTGAAGGCTGGCCTGGAGTAGGCTGGCCTGCTGCGTAGCGGCGGGTCTCACCCCGCCTTGGGGGCAGGGGGCCTGTAAGTTATCAGAATGCATCATCCCCGAGACCCGTCACCACCCCCTGCGATATGCCCTCACACCCACCTCCACCCCATACAAGAAGATGTGGCTGGCTGTCAGTGTGGTGCAGGCGCTGCAATTATGAGCCACAGAGTGAGAAAGTAGAGGGTGTGGCTGGCTTAAAGTATTGCGATATTAGGGCTGCTACCATTGTACAAGTATGACGATTTTGGTATTTCTCCCGAAATATCCTGCAGGTCTGTAATACTGCAGGGAGGACATGACAAAGAGCTGCCACAAGTAAGTGGCAAGGCTAGAAGGCAAGAAAGCTGGAGGTGTGCAAAACATGGGGTTCAAGAGGCCGGGCATAGTTGGCTGTCCTGGACAGGCTAACTTGCAAACGCAACTGTGGATCCCATCCTGCCCTAGGGGCAAAGGGCCCGCAAGTCACCGTGAGTGTTATCAAGCCCTCTCAACGTCCTCCCACCGCCACCCCCCAATGTATCCGGTAGGTCTGGAGTACTGCAGGCAGAACCTGGCGGATGAGATGCCAAAGGTAAATGACGAAGCAAAGGGGTATTGAAGCAGAAGTTGTGCACAATTTGAGGTTGAAGAGACTGTGCATGGTGAAGGCTGGCCTGGAGTAGGCTGGCCTGCTGCGCAGCGGTGGGTCACACCCCACCCTGTGGGCAGGGGGCCCGTAAGTTAAGAGAGCGTGTCACCCCCAATACCCACCACCACCCCTTGCTAAAGGTCCCCCACCTCCACCCCATACAAGAAGAAGTGGCTGGCTGGCTGTATGGCGCAAGCGGTGGAAGTATGAGCCAACGAGTGAGGACGAAGAGGTTGTGGCTGGCTTAAAAGTATTGCAATATCAGGGCTGCTACCTTGAGCAGTCATAACGTCTTTATTATTCCGCCTAGAGTATCCTGCTGGTCTGTAGTATTGCAGGAAGGGCGTGGCAGAATGGTGCCGACGGTAAGTGACGAGGCTGAAGTGCAGGAAAACAGGAACTCTGCCCCATGTAGGGTGAAAGAAACAGAAACTGGATGTGGTGAAGGCTGGCCTGGAATAGGCTGGCATGTAACGCCATTGTGGGTCCATCCTACCCTAGGGGCAAGGGGCCCTTAGTAAGAGTGAGTGTTATCCCCATGCCCACCCAAACTGCACAACCCACCCAGCCCATCCCGTTCCAAGTCTATGTTACGGGTGTGTTTAAAAGAGCGAAAGGTGTCATATGTTGCGCGGGATGGGTGGCGCATGCAAAGAGACATGCGGCGGAGGCTCAAGGTGACTGGCGGATGGTGTGAAGCATGTGCGGATGGGCTTCTATCGCACAAAACTATATGTAGTGCAATCCTGGGGCTGCTGCCTTTCTCTAGGCAAGGCGGTCCTCCACCACAGGACTTATTGACGCGGTGGTAGATGTCTGGGTTGCTGTCCCAGTAATAGGAAGATATAATGAACTTCTGGGGCTGCTACCCTCGTATAGGCAAGCGATATTCCCCCGTGGCTGTGGGAATAACTTCAGGCTGACCAGTGGCTGAGAGGTAGTCGAGTCAAATATGTGCAGGATGAAGTAGAGTATAAACAAATTGCGTAGAAGCAGGCAGCAACGACTGGGAAGAGGTGAGAGGGCGGGGGGAGTGAACCACCGAAAGAGAAGATAACATATGTCCTATGCATCCAACGGATGTACAGGGTGTCTATTGTCTTAAGTAGCCGGCGGGGAACAGCCCTTGGAGGGGGAGGAGGTGCCCATGCGCAACTGCATGGGCAGCTCTGGCGACACTGGCTTTAAAGGGAGTCGAGAAAAGGGGAGCATGTGGAAAGATGATGACGGCAGCAGGAGTAGCCCTTGTGAGGTTGGCGGTGAGAAAAACACGGTGGTAGGGAAGAGAGGATCTCAGTCATTGTTTTTTTTCTGCAGTAGTCGAAGTTGTCGCAGTAGCTGTCGTGAACGTCGTGGTACCCCACAGCCTTCTGTATGTACTGTACGCTCCATGTACTTGTAGGTGAGAGCGCTGCGGTCTAACCGACATAGCATCCCATGTGTTGGTTCACTCTCACGTATTAGTGCCATTGTCACTTGTCTGGGCCTGGTACTGCTTCGGGATGGGTGTCGCCTTGAAGACCAGCAGCGTCTGTACTAGGCGTGGTGGGTGCTCGTGTGGTTTGTCGTGACGTAGGTTGCGAAGGTGAACTTCAGTAAGGTATTGTTGGAATTGTGCTTGATGCACTCGAAGTGTGGCGATGTATTCGAGGAGGCGTGAGTCGTTGATGTGATGGACGAATGTGTGACCTACGTGGTCGATCTCAACCCTAGAGGCTGGCCTCCATATGCTGCTGGCTAGTGTGCTTGGTGGTGTTTTGGGCAGGAAGTAAACCTGCCTGGTGGCGTATGTTTGTGGTGGTAACTTTCTGGTGGGTATCTTTTGGGGCCATATTTGTGCCCTGGCGTCTTCGGGTGGTGGGAAAACGATTGGGATCCTGAGTTCAGGTGGCGGCGGATGCATAGGGGTCCTGATGATATGTGCCACGTGCCAGAGGTACCGTTCTCATGTGGGTGTTGGCAGGTGGTGCTTTTGGTGCACTTGCTTCCCAGGCTGCTGTCCAGTTGTAGGTCGGTGGACGATGATCTCGATTTGGAAATATTCGTGGTGCGGTTAATGGCCCGCTGCCTTCTATGTTGGTCATATTACCTTGGATTACCGTCGGCCGTCTGCGCTGAATTCTTCTGCTTGTCCCAGTTGTCCTTGGGATCCAGCGATGCATATCCCTCCATGAGGTGACTTTATGGTCCTCTCGCGTCGAGGCTGGTGTTTATTGTTTGTCAATTCTTACCGGATCATGATATGCGCGATTATTCTGTAGTTTCTGCACGGGTCCCTCGCAGTCTGGACAGAGACGCAGTCCCAAACGGAAGGTGTGCAGTCTTTTACAAATGTACCTTCCTTCATCCGTCCATGGTCAATCTTCATCCGACTGCAGGATAGATACAATACATTTCGAAACAACTTAAAGTTCTTCATGCGTCCCATTGAAGTTATAGTATTATTATATGTTTATATGTATATATGTATATATATACTTGTATGTGCATGTACATATGCGCCCAGTCCGCGGTAGGTGGGTCGCCAGTTTTTGCCGGGGTTTTGGGATCAGCTCCCCCGTGGAATGCCGAACGGGCAAGCGACGGGCCCCCATGCCGACGCGGGCCGTATACTCGTTTCTTGGAGCCCCCCAAGAAGATATTTACATCATGCAATATTTGGAGAAAGGACGGCACCAGGGCAACCGATTGGTGGCCCGTTGCGTGGAGGCATATCGATCCGACTGAAACGCCGATGACACGCCCGCCGCTCTGCGCAAACATTGGGCCAGATGTAGAAGACGAGCAAATTGAACCAACGATTGGACGGGGGCTTTCGGGGGGATAATCTATCGGCGGACGGACTGCCCCTCCCGGCGCCGCGTCGTTGTTGGTAAGCAAGTGCCCAGGGGAACTGGGAGAGACTCAGTCTTTCCTAGAGGGTGATCCATACTCCCGCATCGAATTCCACGCGCGAAGGCTCTAAAGAACCGGCCGCGCATGATCTCTGAACGCGTCGCAAGAAAACGCGGAGGGCTGTTGGGGCTCGGCCCCAGTCGCCCCAATGACAAGTACGAGGACAAGCCTCAATTTCAGAACGAAGAAGGCCCAGAAGCTATCTATGTGAGGAATCAGGCCAGGAATAAGCGAATTGCATCAGAGGTTCCAATCCAACGTTGTGAAAACCAAAATGACCTTCGACAAAAGCAAGCCTCTGGGAGGAGCAACGAGACGCCCCTTTGCGCTGACATTCGCTAAAGAAGGGATAGACTTGTCCAGACAGCCCCGCGCGGCGACTGCCGTCAAAGCTTCCAAGAGTGATGCGATAAGGACAACGTTCACATTTATGCAGCAATATGGCATGAGCGACGCGTTGATCGGCGACAAAGAACGAATCATGATTTGCGAGGGGTTCGCCAAATCCATGAATGATTGTTGGGATGCGGATATCAAAACTGCCTTGCTTGAACATAGAACCCCTGCGCATCATGGCCATTGCTAGGGAATGCATGATTGATTCTGCCACGCACAATCGACGCATCGCATCCCCAACAGAAACACAACATGTATTGGATGCTCAGGATGAGACAGAGTTTTCAATACTGGCCGCAGCAGATGCGAATACATGTGAATTTGACGAGGAAAGCATGGAGGCAGCCAACAAATGTTCGGAGCTGCTGGCGACATGTATCGCGAACTTGGGGCTCAGCTCTCGCAGGTCCAAGATGCGCGCAGATCCCTGGACAATACAAGCCACAATGGCTCATTTCATCGGCCAAAGTGGATGGGAAGCACCATTTCAAGGCCAACGCGTTGATTTGCGGAGCCAATTTATCACCGACCATGGCCAGCTCAAT